GATGATGAAGAGATTGAGAGTGTTCACAGCTTCAGTTTGCTCGGCTCCTCAGTCAACACTCTTGGTACCAGCAGTCAGGAAATCAAAAAGCATATCGCGATGTGTCATCTATAGATAGTCAATAAAGATCAGATGTTTTCTATTAGAATCAATAAATAGTTAATAGAGTATCAAAACATGACTAGGGAAACTATGTACAAGTATTTTACAAAACAAACATCTCAAGAAGTAATAATCTGTAAAAGTGAGACAAACAAAACTATCTGATGAGGATAACTAGTTTAAAAGAAGGAAATCAATGCAAGTTAAAGTATAAGCAGGTTGCTTTTTGGATAACGTCAACTGACCTTGGTGATAGATTGAATTTAAAGGAGAGGGAGGGCGGGAAAGAGACAGATAATGCCTGGGTTTTCTGGCACAGGAGATGGGAGTGAGATGTGAAGCATAAACACGAGAGTGCAGTTGGGGATGCAGTCACTGAGGATCTGGTCAGAGCGTCTCTGAAAGGCACAGTATTTGCTTGGCTTGCTTGACTTGCTTGACTCGGGCTCTGATTGAATTTTTGGCAGCACAACAAGAGGATTTCCTGCACCAAAGGAAGTGATGCCCCAGATTCCTTCATTGAAGAACTGACATCACAAAACTGTGAAGTCCTCTGCTTGGATTCTGACTGAATCTGGCTCTGTTCTGTGACTGTCAATCAGGCCACCCACCAATGACAAAGTTTTGACCACAACATATACCTGAACTGAATTATTTACTCTTTCTGAATTTGACAACATAGTGAAAATTAGCCCTTGTTCCACAGTGTAAATCCACTACACTTATCATTAAAGGACATAATGTTTCTATTTCTTCATAAGGAAAGTAGACAATTTTTTAAAATGTGTATCTTCATACAAATTCTTATTTATTTATGGCTTTTCTTTACAATTCCAGTTTGAAAGACTGAACCTTGCCCTTCAGAGAACATTGGCAAAACATAAAATAAAAGAAGGCAGGTAAGTTGAATAACTCCAGTTGTATGGATACCTCTTTCTGCCGTCACTTTTGCTACTAAAAACTGAACATCAACAAATGTTTATTTAGTTATAACTGGAGGATAGAAATAATTCTTTTATGAGACAAGAAAGCTCATAAAATAGTCAACAACTAAAGCCAGTAAAAAAGACCAGTTGCTGCGAAATCAATGAAGCAATTTCAACTCATAATAACTCCACATGTCAGAATAGAACTATATTCAATGACCACATTCTTTAAATGGACAACCAGTCTTTCTACTGAGGTGTTTCTGGTTAGAGTGAGCCTTCAACCTGTTTCTTTTCTTCCATATATGTTATGTATTTGTTACATCAGAAAGATGAAATGAGTACAATTTAGAGTAAATCCAAGGTTTGTTTCAGATAAGCAAGTTGCTGACCTTGGTGAGAGGTCAAATTTAGGGGTAAAAACAAAGAGAGAAAAAAAGATAACTCCAGAGTTTTCTAGACCAGGAGATTATGTGTGCTAGAATTGCCAGAAATGTATGTGTTTTAGCTTTTACTAACCCAATAGTAAATGCACACATTTTTCACATTTTGGAAATGATTAACTTGGTCTTATGAAATACTTAAGATGTGACAGCTAGGAAAAGTCAAATCTGAGCTTCAAGTTGAAGTTTTTCATAGCCATGATTTTTAAGCATGTATCATACAGTACTTTTTTGAACAAGCCCCTATATGATATATACTTTATTTTTTAAATTTATTAGTATTATTAATGAAAATTTACAAAGATTTTGGATTTCTATTCATTCATTTTTACATTTCTCCTTACCCATCCCTCCCCTCCAGTTCATTCTTCTCTTTGAAAAGTAAAAGGAAAATTATTTCATTGTTATACAATCCCTCCCACCAAGTCCATTCCACTGTGCAGCCTTTGTTCTGGACTCCTGTCATGACAATAATACCTAATCATATATCCCTTTTAAACAGTTATCCCCCTAATCTGTTTCAATGCAGTGTACATTATTTATCCCATCTTTCTCAGTCTCCCCCCAACTCCGATGTCAGTCCAATTCTGCAACAGTGGCACTATGCAGTATTTATCCTTTTTATGACTGAGATAGTTCACTCAGCATAATGTCCTTCATAGTCACCCATTTTGAATAATATTTCATGAGTTCATTGTTTTTCAATGCAGCATGGTATTCCATTGTGTGAATATACTACAGCTTCTCTATCGATTCGTTTGTTCATGGACACTTAGGTTGTTTCCAGCTCTTTATTTTCATGTACATTTACAGTTGCCATGGAGCTACCGTGACCCTGACTCTTGGACACTCCATGTATATCAGAGCAGGAGCAGAACTGAGCTGTCTAGGGCTTCAGGGGCTGATTTTTCAAGAGTAGGTTTTCAGGTCTTTCTTCTGAGGTGTTCCTGAGTGAACATAAACTTCCAATCTAGAATGTACTTAACAACAGGGATCCTAAACCGGGATCAGAATGGATTCCTCACTCAAAGGAGGCTGCCAAACAAAAAGTTGGAATTGTAGCCCACCAGTATCTGTCCCTTGTCCCACATACCTCAATCACATGGTAAGCTTTCAAGAGCCACCTCAGTAATAAAATGCGTGGTAACAAGAACAGGTTGCCAAGGAAGCAGGGGGCATCGGTGGAACTGTTTCAGTACTCTCAACAACTAGTGCACTGTTTTTGTGTGAAATCTGAATATCAGTTGTTTATCCTTTTTTTCTTGTGTGTGTTTTAGAATTTAAAAAAAAAAAAAGTATCTTTTTGGGCATGTTGCAAGAAGGGACCAGTCCTTGAAAAGGGTCATCATGCTTGGGAGGCTGGAAGGACAGCACAAGAGAGGAAGATTCTGGATGAGATGGATTTATTTGGTCACTGGGCGGGTGGGGGTAGGTATGTCAGAGACAATAAGGTTGGCACAGGATAGAGCAGGGTTTAGGGCTGCTGTATATAGGTTGCTACACAAGCAACTCGACAGCACATAACAACAACAACATCGAGCATTTAATAAGTATTTTTTTTAAATCCTATTTTGCAAACATATCTTGACACGTTTCTTGTTAATATATAACTTCATTGGCCTCTTTAGAATTATTCCTCCAAATTGCTACTAGTAGTTAATGCGGAAATGATGGGATGAATACTTGGCTTTAAAATTTGTACTTTGAACATTGACATTTGGCAAGCCAGTTCCATGGCTGAGAATATTTTATTAATTCACTCAGCTGTCTGCAGCTCAAGAGTGTATAATCAGTTCTGTGGATCTCCCAGGCTTAGTTCCCTTGCTGACTAACAGTCCCAGACTGCAGGCAGCAGGACAAGCCAGGAAGAGGTCAGGGATGGGTCCAAAAGAAGAGGGTGTGAATCTATGCGCCTGACAGATGCTGTGTTTACATGAGCGATATGAAAGACATTCCTTTCCAAGAAAGCCTCTGACCTTAATTCCCAGTCAAGCTGATAAGATAACCAGAAGTCATTCCAACTCTGCTACTGTGTCTGTCTGCCCAAATCCTTGGCATTCAGTTTACTCAGAATTTATTCTCGGGGCTTTGTGTTCTGCAGTGTTCTTTCAACTGGATGCAGGCATTTGACTAGCGTGTTTTCTCTCACAGTGCATTCCTTTGAAAAATGAACACTGCAGTAGAAGAGATGAGGGGAAGAACTGTCTAAAATGATTAGGCCTATACCTATTACAATAATCTGGAACAAGAGGTGCATTGTGGGGTGAGGTGGGGTCGGGAAGAGAGAGGAGGAATAAAATATACAACAAGGAATGTATAAACAAAATTAGAAAAACAATAATCTATTTACTTTTACATGTTGAACAAACCATTTACCGCATTTATTATTTTTTTTTCTTAGAGAGGGTGGGAAAAAAATAAATGCTTATTTCTGTAGAGTTGGAACCAACTCATAATTGACCTTCCAGCCAGTTTCCAAGGCTGTCAGTCAGAGAAGAGATTGTCCATCTTTCTCCCTTGGAGCCACTGGTGGGTCCAAACTGCCAGAGAGGTGTGCCCTTTGGATTAGTAGTACAGTTTAAAGGAGCTCTCATAGCTTAATGGGAAGGAATTACCAATGCAAAAGTACAGAGCTCAAATACACCGGGTGTTCTGCAGGAGAAAGATGGGCAATCTTCTTCCCTGTGATTCACTGTGGATCTCCCAGGCTTAGTGTTCTTGTCCACTGCAGAGTCAGCAATGGGTCTGCTCTGACTTGACAGCACACAAAAACAACAAGAAGCAGCCACCAGAGTTCATGATATTTAAATTGCTCTAGTATACCAGAGACGGTGAGGACGGTGCAGGATAAGACAAGGTTCAGTTCTTTTGTTCCTAGGGTCACTATGCATGACACCTAGCAACAAACGGTGATAATCAGGGAAAGCTCGCAGCCTCATCCGTAGGGAACCATGTTGCTAACCTGGAAGCAGCTGATTCAAATCTACCAGCTGCTCTACAGGAGAAAAATCGGCAATATCCTCCCAGGTGATTTCCAGCCTCTGAAAACTCACTGGGGGGTCAGCTATGAGTCGGCTCCAGCTAGACAGCAATGAGTTGGGTTATTGAATGGTCATTATCTGTCTTTTGAAATAAGATTACAACATTTTACTCATAAGACTCCTTACTAATAATGCTAAAGGCTCCTCTCTGTTTTGTGTTTTCAGCTCTTGAGTTTACCCTTTGTTTTCATGCTCTCTTATCAATTCAGCTGCTTTTTCTACTGTTTTAGATTTAGCAACTGTTGAATATGCCCTTGTCCGTGCTGTGGACTGTTTATCATCTTCTATGACTTGAAAGCCAGAAACCAATCTGATGAAACAATAAACTGGTGTTAAGGGCCAAAGGTCACCCTCTCCCATTCTCATTAAGTATATTAATTTAGCACATAAAGTCTCTTTGATATTCTTTGATATATAAAGGGCCTTTGCTTCTTATCCTTTTTTCTGCCATCATCCTGGTGTGTAAATATGGGTTTATGCTTGTTTGTCCTTTGTAAAAGTAACGAAAGGAAATTAGTGTGAGATTCGCTCACTGTGTTTTGTTTGCACGAGCTACGCTTTACTTGAATTTAATATCATGGGTACTGAGAACTCGCAGTATTAGTGTCCTCTGAACATATTTACTCTTATATTACAGAAATAGACACAAACTAAAAGGCTACTTCAAAGCAGAAAAAAAGAAGCAAACCTAGATAAGTCAGTATAGAAAAATACGTGACCAGTTGTCAGTATTCTCTAGCTCAAAGTGGGTTGTAACATTATATTTAAAAGGTAGGTATTCCTAGGGGAGCTCTGGTGGCCTAGGGGAACTCTGGTGGCCTAGTGGCAAGGAGCTGCAACTACAATCCCAGAGGCACACGGTTCAAATCCACCAGATGCTCTGCCGGGAAAAGGAGGGACATTCTCTTCCTGTACCAGTCAGATCTGATTTGACGGAACACTCACACAAAAATTAAAAAAAAATAAAAGATAGGTATTCCTACCTGTATAACATGTATTTCTACCTGTTGTTACTGAGTCAGAACTGACCCATAACTGACCCTCCAGCAGATTTTCAGAGGCAGTAAATTGCATAGGAGGAGCTTGCCCATCTTTCTCTGGTGGAGCATCTGGTGGATTCAAACCTTCTATTTCATTGCAGTGAGGTTCATCACCACTAAACCACGAGAACTCTCTTCAGTTTCTCCCTGTTGTTGTTGTTAAGTGCCGTCGAGTCACATGCAACTCATAGCGACCCTGTGTACAACAGCCCTAAACTGTGCTTTGTCCTGTGCCAATCGCACTGTCTCTGATACACACATCCCGATTACTCCAGTCACTGAATCCATCCACCTCATAGAGGGTCTTCCCCTCCTGCGCTGTCCCTCCACCCTCCCAAGCATGATATCCCTCTCCAAGGACCGGTCCCTCCTTACAGCATATCCAAAGTATGTTAGACGGAGCCTCAGAATTTCTACCTAGTGTGTAAATAAATAGAAATAATATATTCTGGTAGAATGATCCAATTTCCTCTCAAAAGTATTTTCTTCTTAAACTTCCTAACATGTATTATGCTTTATTGAGAACTGTTTAAAATTTCAAGTGTATTTTGACCCACTGCTCATAACAACTGTATAAATCAGAAAAAAAAACAAAACAGTCCTATGTGGTTGCCAAAGCTGGAAAGCTTTATAGAAGCAGATTGGCTCATCTGTCTTCTGAGAGCAGCTGTAGGGCTTGAATGATGAAAGTTATACAATTGTTCAGGTCTTTCACTCATAGGGTTGCTAAGATTCGTCTATGATTCAATGTCATTTAACAACAATAACAGTGACAACATAGAGAGAGCTCTGTTTACATAGTGGACAGAAAGCCCAACGTGGGTGATTTTAATCTGTGGCACTCAGGCCTGGTTTAAATTGTTTTTGTTTTTGTTTTTTGCCAAACATTCTTCTAGGTGGTATAGCATTGGTCTGTGCATTGCTGTACAGAGGTAACTCGTGGTTGCTGTAATGCTAAACACTGTGACACTGATGTGCCAAATGTGATAATGGTTACCCATGGATAATGGTTACACCAGTGTTTGGTGGAGCTTCCCAATTAAAACAAGCTTGGAAGCAGGAGTGACATCCACTTCCGAAACGGCTTGCCTCCCGGAAATCTATGAACTTGGAGAAACGACCAAAGTTATATAAGTGTTTCAGGTCATTTTTTCATAGGGTCGCTATGAGTTGTCTATGACAACAATAACAAATACAGTGGATATAATCCAGTCATTTCCTCCCACCAGTCACTCTGAGGGAGGAAGTTGTGGCAATCTACTTCTGTAAAGATTTACAGCTGTGAAAACCAGGTGGGGCCATTCTCCACTGTTACACAAGAGTCCCTGTGAGTTGAAATTTACTTGACTGGAATTGATTTGATTCATGTTTTTCTGTCAGGAGATGTGTATGGTATTATCAATCTGGTAGCCCAACAATTAAGTTCTCATCTGCTAACCAGAAGATTGGTTGAATCTACCAGCAAAGCTCCAGTAAAGAATTGGAAATCTGATCCTGTGAAAATTACAGCCAAGAAAATCCCTGGGAGCAGTTCTTCTCTATCATCTGAGTATAGGAAGAGAATGCCTACGTGGTGCCAAGAGTTAATATGCTTGGGTGCCAACTAAGGGGTTGGTGTTTATAGACCATCCAGAGGATTCTGCTGCAGAAAAATCAGTCATCTTAAACCCTCTGGAGCATAGTTTATTCTGATAAGCTGAGTCACTACAATTTGGAATCACCAAAGAACAAACTACAACTGGTTTTATGTTATAAAAATGAATACAGTAATTGAAAAAAAAAATGAATACAGTAATTGAATGAAGTTTGGGTGGGTTTTTTGTTTGTTTGTTTGTTTTTTGGCTTCTGTTCTTCTTCTTCTTCTTTTTTTAGTTCCTAAGCTTTTCCAGGAAACTCTAGTATTACAGATATTTGGGAGTTGAACTGTTGACCCAAAGGCTATGGTGGTTCTAATCCATCAACAGGTTTGTAGGAGAAAGATGAGCAATCTCCTATCATGTGATTTACACCCTCAGAAATTCAGTGGAGGGTCAGCTATGAGTTGGTTCTAACTTGATGGCAAAGAGAAGAGGAGAAATTTTATATAATAAAAGATGAAGTTAAATGTAATGATAGTTGAGTCTTTGAAATAACTGATATTTTGTTGTTGTTGTTGTTGTTATTAAGATGGAACCGACTTGTTTTGACCCTCCAGTGGCTTTTCAGAGGTTGTAAATTGTATGAGAAGAACTTCTCACTTTTTCCCCACAGAGCATCTGGTGGGTTCGGACAGTTACCTTTGAGTGGACAGTGTGACTCCTTACCCACTAAAGAAAGAAGAAAATAGTCATAATAATAAAATTCATGTGTGTGTTGATTTTTCTTCTTGGCTAGGTTATCAGAAAAACTATGGGTTGATTTCTTACCTTCCCTTCACTCTCCTTGGTCATTTCACATTCCTGATGTCTTGGCAGAACAAACTTCTTCAGTCTTAGCCTGTGTAAAGTTAACATAAAAAAGAAATGTATTTAATTTTGGAAAATGAACATTTGGCCATTTTCAACATTGTTTTTGATTGTCCGTGTCATTACTGCTTTCCTATAAACTTAGTAGCCAATGTTTGGCTCTATAAAAAGATAATTTAAATTCTTTCCTTTGTCATTTTTATATGTTTTAATTTGAAGTAGTAGCATTCTTTTATCAGCTTTATAATTTAGATACAAACAATTTTTATATTTCCAGGAAATATTTGGAAAGAGAAGACTTTGAGAAAATCATCACCGACCATGCAGTTGCAGCAGGTAGTAGACTTATTCAAGAACATTTGTAACAGTGGAACTAATATTTTCTCTAAAAATAATCATACTTCTTTGTTGGTCGCTACAATACCAGTGTCAGATGTTCAGTGTTGTATATAACATGGAATATAAGCAATCTGTTTAAGTTAACATAAAGACTTGTTTTCATACCGGTGTATGTTTAAGGTAAAGCTTTTCCTTTTACCATGATGTTTGTTGTTGTTGTTATGTGCCGTCGAGTCATTTGTGACTCATAGCGACCCTATGCACAACAGCCCTAAACCCTGCTCTATCCAGTGCCAATCTCACTGCCTCCGACACACCCATCCCGATTACCCCAGTCACCAAATCAATCCATCTCATAGAGGGTCTTTCCCTCCTGCACCGTCCCTCCACCCTTCCAAGCATGATGTCCCTCTCCAAGGACCCGTCCCTCCTGGCAACATGCCCAGAGTATGTCAGATGAAGCCCCAGAATCCTTGCCTCCAAGGAGTTGCTTGGTTTAATCCTCTCCAGGATGAATCTGTTTGTTTTCTTGGCAGTCCATGGTACATTCAGTACACTTCTCTAGCACCACAACTCAAAGGCATCAATTCTCCTTCTGTTCTCCCTAGTCATTGTCCAACTCTCTGATGCATAACAAGTGATTGCAAAGACCATGGCCTGTATCAGGTGCACCTTAGTCTCCACAGAGACACCGTTGCTCTTGAGTACTTTAGAGAGGTCATTAACAGCAGACTTTCCCATCGCAATACGTTTTTTTATTTCCT